GACCATGTTGGCCAGGCTGGTCTCAAACTCCTGACCTCAAGTAATCCACCTGCCTTGGCCTCCCAAAGTGTGAGCCACTGCGCCCAACCCCATTAAAGTTTTATCATGAGGTTGCAACAATTTAGTCACATCTTCAGGCTTTGTTTCTAATTCTAGTTCTCTTGCTATTTCCACCACATTTGGAATTACTTCCTCTACTAAAGTTGAACTCCTCAAAGTCATCCGTGAGAGTTGGAATTCAACCTCTTCCAAACACCTGTTTAATATTTTGACGTCTTCTCATGAATCACAAATGTTCTTAAATGGCATCTAGAAGGGTGAATCCTTTCCAGAAGGTTTTCAACAGACTTTGCCCAGATCCATCAGAGAAATCACTATATATGACAGCTATGGATTTACAAAATATATTTCTTAAACAGTAAGAGTTGAAAGTCAAAAGTACAACTTGATCCAGGGGTTGCAGAATGGATGCTGTGCTACTGCATAAACAACACTAATCTCATTGTATATCTCCATCAGAACATTTGGGTGACCAGGGGCATTGTCAATAAGCAGTAATATTTAGAAAGAAATCTTTTCTTCTGAGCAGTAAGTCTCAACCGTGGGATTAAAATATTCAGTAAACCATCCAGTAAAGAGATATGGTGTCATCCAGGCTTTGTTTTTCCATTTATAAAGCACAGGCAGAGAAGATTTAGCATAACTTTTAAAAGCCCTAAGATTTTCAGAATGGTAAAGTACTGGCTTCAACTTAGTCATCAGCTGTATTAGTCTCTAACAAGAGAGTCAGCCTATCTTTTCAAGCCAGGTACTGACCTCTCCTCTTTAGTGACTACAGTCCTCAATGACATCTTCTTCCAATACAAGGCTGTTTTGTTCACATTGAAAGTCTGCTGTTTAATGTAGGTACCTTCAACAACGATCTTAGCTAGATCTTCTGGGTAACTTGCTGCAGCTTCTACATCAGCACTTGCTGCTTCACCTTGCACTTTCATGTTAAGGAGGTGGCTGCTTTCCTTAAACATCAAGAACCAATCCCTGCAGCTTCGCACTTTTCTTCTGTTACTTCCTTGCATCTCTCAGCCTTCAAATAACTGAAGAGTGTTAGAGCCTTGCTCTGGATTAGGCTGTGGCTTAATGGAATGCTGTGGCCGGCTTGATCTTTGATCCAGACCACTACAACTTTCTTAGTATCAGCAATAAAGCTGTTTGGTGCTCTTGTCATTCATGTGTTCACCAGAGTAGCACTTTTAATTTCCTTCAAGAACTTTTCCTTTTCATTCACAGCTTGGCTAACTGTTAGGTACAAGAAGCCTAGCTTTTGCCTTGTCTTGGCTTTCAACATGCCCTTCTCACTAAGCTTAATCATTTTTAGCTTTTGATGTAAAGTGAGAAACACGCAACTCTTCCTTTCACTTGACCACCTAAAGGCTATTGTAGGGTTATTAATTGGCGTAATTTAAATACTGTGCCTCAGGGAAGAGGGAAGCCCAAGGAGAGGGAATGAGACAGGGGAATGACAAATAAGGGGAGCAGTCAGAACACACACAACATTTACCAATTAAGTTCATTGTCTTATAGGGGCATGGTTCATGGTGCCCCAAAACAAGTACAATAGTAACTTCAAAGATCAGTGATCACAGATCACCATCTCAGATGTGATAATAAAGAATCTGAAATAACGTGAGAATTATGTTTCAACATATGCTGTTGAAACAATGGTGCAGGAAGACTTGCATGACTCAGGATGTCTACAAACCTTCAATTTGTAAATAACACAATTATCTTCGAAGCACAATAAAATCAGGTGTGTCTGTATATATAGTTACTAAATTATGGTAGATAACTTTTATTCAAATAATTTACATACTTATTTAGCCTAGTTAATTTATTATTTTTTAATAGATGGAGTTTCTCATCATAATTGTGGATCTGTTTCTCATCATGTATGAGTGTTTTGGCTTTCTTATGTAGCGACTTTTATAACTTCCTGGTGGATTGCGGCCCTCTTTGTTTTGCTTAATGCCTTTTGTCTTGAATTCTGTTAATAATTTGTTTGATATTAACATTGCCATCCATTCTTAATTTTGTTACCATCTTTCTGATTTTTCTTTTTTCCTTCATTCTAAAAAGAGTTTTCGCCAGGTGTGGTGGCTTGCCTGTAATCCCAGCACTCTGGGAGGCCAAGGCAGGTGCATCACCTGAGGTCAGGAGTTTGAGACCAGCCTGGCTAACATAGTGAAATCTCATCTCTACTGAAATACAAAAATTAGCCAGGTGTGGTGGCGGGCACCTGTAATCCTAGCTACTCAGGAGGCTGAGGCATGAGAATCGCTTGAACCTGGGAGGCAGAGGTTGCAGCGAGCCAAGATCATGCCACTGCACTCCAGCCTGGGCGACAGACAGAGACTTTGTCTCAACAAACAAAACAAAACAAAAAACAGTTTTAACATATTCATATTTACATCTGAATTTACTTCTGACACCATTTGTCATGCTTTCTGAGTTTCCTCTATCTTCCCCAACACAACTATGCATTTCCTATCACGTACTAAGATAATTATGTTTTCTTGGTGCTCTTATTTCTTTTGGAAGTTTTACACTTGATATCCCCAGTGTTTCTCAAAGTGGAGTTGAGAACCAATTGTATCGTAATCACCTTGGGTGGTTTTTAAAAGTCACTGCGGTAAAACATCACATGATTTACCATTTTAGCTATTTTTAAGAGTACATTTCAATGGCATTAAGTTTTCTATTTCTATGTCCTTGAGGAATCGCCACACTGTCATCCACAATGACTGAACTAATTTACACTCCCACCAACAGTGTAAAAGTGTTCCTATTTCTCCACAACCTCTCCAGCATCTGTTGTCTCCAGATTTTTTGATCGCCATTCAAACTGGCGTGAGATGGTATCTCAATGCAGTTTTGATTTGCATTTCTCTAATGACCCATGTTGATGAGCATTTTTTCATTAATACTTTATCAGATATGTGATTTGCAAATATTTTCTCCCATTCTGTAGGCTGCCTTTTTACTCTGTTGATAGCATCCTCTGATCTACAACCGCGGTGTTTTTTAAAATGTAAAATGTTGAGTCCCATTGTACATCTATTTAATCAGAATGCCTGCAGGGTGGAGTGTGAGCATCTGTGTTTTTGGAAATTGTACCAGGTAACTATTATAACTCACTCTTTTAGTAGTTGCCCCTAAATTTTTTGTTAGTATTTAAAAACATTTTTTGGCACACAATTTGAGAACTGACCAGGATATCCTGGTCCTTTCCTGAGGGGGAAAAAAAATCTAACACAATTTTACTCCTCCTTTACCCTTATTCTGACATTTTATCAAAACTACGTGAAATTTTAGCTTGACTGTTACTAATTTTTTCATACCATCCCTTCATATTTTAGGGAGTCCTTTCTTTATAACTGCATGAAAACCTCTCAGTCATACTATCAGTAATTTTTTAGACTTAAAATTTTAGCCACAGATTATAAATGCAAGTCAAAATAATTTTCTTTCACTTATAGCCATATAAATGTTTTCACCTTGACAAGTCTGTTGTCACCTAGAATCCTATAATGCTGATGAAATGTGTGTTCTTCAAAGTCTGATCTGCTGAATTGAGTCTGATTCTCATTTCTTTGTTGATAACGTGTCGTTTCCTTTTTGTTGCAGTTTTTACAAATCATTCTCTCCCTGTTTCTCACTCTGGAACCTTTTAGCCCTTCTCTTTATCTTTGAAACTTAGAAATATTACTAACATGTATGTTTTCTCTCCCTCTCAGTCACTATTCCTGCTTCATACTAAGTATCCCTTCAAAATTAATAAAAATTTCTCCAGTCCTGTCATCAATTATCTCCCCTGTCCTCCAGTCTCTATGTTCATTATTTCTGGAATAGACATATGATGATTTCTGGGATTTTTCCTCAATTTCTCTTTACTCGTATTTCACATCTATTTGTTTCTTGACTTTTTATGTTTAAAAATATTCATTCCTTTTATCTTCCATATCAATTACTACCTTTAGCCCTCTCCTTTTTTTTCCAGACCTTCTACTGAGTTACCTTATTTTGGCAATAGTTTTAATTTCTAAGAACTAATTGGTTTTTTTATGTACTATTTTCCCTTGGCATCCTAATTTTATTCCCTTAAATGTCTGTTTTTCATCTTTGCCCTTTTGCTTTCCTGCTAGGCTAATTTTATTAAAATGTTTCGTAATTCTTCATTTCCCATTCAGAATTAAAATGATGACTAAGTGAATCCCTGGAAAGCTGGTCTGTGTTTCCATGCAGGTAACAGGTCTATTGCCTCTTTTCATGTCCTGGGGAGATCTGGAAGTCCTTCAGGCTTGGCTGTAGCTTTATAATCTGGTTCCAACACCCATTCTAGGAACCTTTCTGCAGTCCAATTCCCCATTTATTTATAAAATTCGTAAAAGTATTCTTTCAGCTTTAATCAAAGAGTACCTGTTATGGCCAACCCCTCTGTAGAGTAGAGTGTGGGAGGGGAATCTGTATTAGAGTCAGCACATTAACAATTTCCCAGATGGATGCACTATGTCTGCATCCACATACCGTAGCACAAACCCCATGCTTGAAATTTCTGTATTCTTTTCTGCAGACTTAGGATTGTAGTATTTCTCTGCTGATGTCCTGATGATAGATTCTACTTGCTTTTTATCTTCCAGGAGTTTCTCAAAACTTCTGATCTACTAGTACAGAAATATGCTATTTTCCCACAGTATTAGGAATTTATTCTTTCTTCTGAAGGTCATTTCTGTCATATTAATGGGATTCTGAGATGGATGAAAAATAAATGGCTATTTTTGGCCTGCTATTTGGATTGAGAAGGTCAGGATTATCTTAAACGTATGTTTTTACAAGTTTTCCCCTTTCCTCTAATCATAGTCATAGTATAAGCAACCTTAAAAGTTCAAGAGTATTTTTAGATTAAAAGTATTTGGAGATTACTTTAAATGTTGTCAGTATCATACCTGTCTATGGCTTGAAGATCATTGGCCGGATTCCAAGTAGGATCAAATAATACAACAACATTGGCACCAACAAAATTGAGGCCTAGTCCACCAGCCCTGGAGGAAAGAGAAAAGTACATTAGAACAGCAAAAACTAATTATTGTGCTGTAACTCAACTGCGCCAGGTTTCTATAGCCAAAACAGTACAGTATGGCATTAATTTCATCAAAGTAAGGTGGTGATTAAAATACAAAATGCCACAAATAAAATATCTAAGGTACAATTTTACTTCTACCACTCTAGAAAATCCCTAAAAACCTGGCCATTAGAGCCCATGTCAATAGGTTGTGCTGGTTTTTGCTTTTCTTGACACTCAAATACTACTTCTGTAAGATTTTCCTGACATAATTTTTAAAAACTGTTAGTACATTCTAGCTAAAGTAATAAATACATTTAAAAACTCAATCCATGAATAGATGTACATCTTATTCTTCTACTAAGTGCAGCTAAAATTCTGGACATTACATAGAAAATAAACATAAAACTCTGAAAGGCACAGAGAAGATAGGCAGGCTAGGGATTACAAGGCCTAAGAAATGGCATGACAATGAGTTCCCTGGCTTGCTTTTTTGCTTAAGATACCATAGGCTGGGTTCTTAACATATCCCAAGCTGTTGGAAACGCCAAAAGCCACAGACCAAAAAAAAAAAACAAATTCCCCAAGAAGAGTCTTTTCCTTTTAGTCAAAGAACCAGGAAAGGTATAGGCTTGAAAGAGAAAAACGTAAGGCAATAACCACCGTGCTCCTGCCAAACACCCAGGAACAATCGGCGGCCCCATCCCTACCTTAGTCAGCAAAGGCTGAATGAGGATACTAAACTTCTACCCTTGCCTGGCTACCAAGAGACACTACCACTGATTCCTGCTGGGGTGGTATCAGAGAAGACTGAGTGAGGAGCTGGAGCTTTCATTTTCTGCCCAGTGATAACTGGGTCTCTCTCCATTGTGTCAGGGGATACCAGGAGGGAGGAGCAGTAAAGCACTTCCCTCTCAGGCTATCGGCAGAAGCCAAATACGGAACCTAGCTTTCCACCCCTGCTTGGCTGGCACGGTGTCAGAAAAGGTGTACTAAAGTGGAAGATTTAAATCAGATGCAGAGTCTTATAACATACTCAAAATGTACAAGAAACAATAATACAATAAAAAACCAGTAATACCAAGAACCAGGAAAATTACAGCTTGAATAAGAAAAGACAGATGAATCAGATGTTGGTATTAGCTGACAAGAATTTTAACACAGCCATCTTAAAGATGTTTCAACAAGCAATTACAAACATGCTTGAAACAAACAAAAAATTGAGTCTCATCCAAAAAAAAGAAAGGATATAAAGAGCAAAATGAAAATCCTGGAACTGAAAAATAGCTGAAATACAAAACTTGCCAAATGGGCTCAGCAGTACAGCGGAGAAGACAGAAGACAGAATCAGTAAGCATGATGAGAATCAATATCATTTACCAATCTGAACAGCAGAGAGAAAAATCAGAAACCATGGAGGTCAGAAGAAAGTGGCACACCTTTCAAGTGCTGAAACAAAGGAACTGCCAACCCAAAATTCTATACTCAGTGAAAATATGCTTCAGAAAGGAAAGGGAAATTATGATATTTTCAGACTAAAGAAAACTAAGAGCATCTGTTACCAGCTGACTTAACCTAAAGGAATGGCGGCTAGAAAGTTCATAAAAGAAAAAAAAAAGGCAGAATAAGGCATGGAACTACAAAAAAGGAAAGAGGAAGATCAGAATAAGTTAAAATAGGAATGAATATAAATACTATTTTATTTCTCATGAGTTTCATAAATTACATTTCATGGTTAAAGGAAAACTGTAACACCATCTGATATGGTGCTTAGGGGATTATAGGAAATACCTAAGATAATTATATTTTTAAAGTGGAGAAAAATAGAGAAAAATCAATAGGGAAAGAGCTTAAATATAAATAAAGTTTCTATACTTCGTTCAAACTGGTAAACGTGTATACCAGTAGACTGTGAGAAGTTACTATGTACAATGTAATACCCAGAGCCACCACCAGGAAGCTACATAAAACAATATATTAAAAAACACTACACATAAACAAATATAGAATCCTAGAACAATGTCTAAATAAGAGAAAAAGTGGAACTAGAATTAGGAGCTAAAAAGATAAAAATTAAATAAAAAATATCAATAATTACCTTCAATGTAATAGCCTAAATATACCATTTAAAATTATAAGATTGGCAGGGTGGACTGAAGAAATAATATGCTCTCCACACACAAAAAAAAGACTTTAAACAGGATGACACAGCTAGGTTGAGAGTGAAAGGATGACAAAAGATACACCAGGCAATTATTTAAAAAGACTGGCTATATTAGTATTAGTCAAAATATATGTCAGAACAAAGAAAATTACTAGAGAAAAGAGAGACAATGAATGAAGACAAAAAGATCAATCTGCCAGGTGAACACACCAAAATAACAGAGCTAAAAGATACATGAAGTCAAATTAGGCTGAAAAGAGAAACAGACAAATGCATAATTATAGTTGAGGATTTCAACACCCCACATTCAACAACTGGTAAAACTCCTAGAGAGAAAAGTCGGCAAGGATATAAAAGAACATGAGCAACTAACAGGATCTAAATGACATATATACAACACTCCACCTAGAAAAGCACAATACACACTTTTTTTTCCTGGTTCCTATAGGACATTCACCAAGCTAGATCAAATCCTGGGCCATAAAACAAACCTCAATAAATGTAAAAGAACTGAAATTATACTGAGTATGTTCTCTAACAATAATGTAATTGAGCTAGCAATACATTTCAGGAAGACAACAACAACAAAAAAATCCAAACACCTGGAAATTAAACAACATACATCTAAATAGCTCCTGAGTCAAACAAAATCTGAAATCCCCAAAAAAGTGAAAAAAAATTAATACAAGGAGAAATAAATAATAATGTAACACAAATGAAAATACAACATATCAAAATATGTGGGATGCAGCTAAGTAGGGCTTAGGAAAATTGAGAACACTAAATGCTTATATCAGAAAAAAACTAAAGGTCTCAACCCAATAATCGAAAGTCCTCCTCATAAGAAACTAGAAAAAGAAGCAAAAAACTTAAAGCAAGCAGAAGAAAGGAAACAGTAAATATAAAAGCAGAATAAAACTGAACACAGAAAAATAAGAGAAAAATCAATTTTAAAAAAGCTGATTCTTTGCTATACTAGCAATGACAAAGATTAAAAAAAAGAGAACACACAAATTACCAATATTAGGAATGAAACAAGAGATATCACTACAGATCCTACAGCTATTAAAAGGATAACTGAATACTATAAAAATTTTATGGTTATAAATTCACCAAGTTAGAAGAAATACAATTCCTCAAAAACTGCAAACCACTGAACTCAACTAACTGAAATAGACAACTTGAATAGTCTTACAACCATTAAAGAAATTATGTATTTTAAAAGTTCTTAGGAAATAAAAACTCTCCAGGCCCAGGTGATTCCATTGGAGAATTTTACAATTTACAGAAGCATTAATACCAGCTGTATACAATAAGCACATGAAGAGATGTTTAGTATCATTAGACATTAGGTAAATGCAAATTAAAACCACAATGACATATCTCTACATGCCCATCAGAATGGCTAAAATTTAAAAAATAGTGACAATAGCAAACGTTAGTGAAAATGCAGGAGAACTTATCACTCATACACTGCTGTTGGGAATATAAAATGATATTGCCACTTTGGAAACAGTTCAGTAATTTCCTATAAAACAAAATATGCAACTATCACATAATCCAGCAGTTGCACTATTTAGCATTTATATCAGAGGAATGAATACGAATGTTCAAACAAAATCTGTACACAAATGTTCATAATAGCTTTATCTCTAATAGCTGAAAACTGGAAACAACCCAGATGCCCTTCAACAGGAAAATGTTTAAACACATGTGGAGTATCCATATGACGAATACTAACGGCAGTAAAAAGAAAAGAACTACTGATACATGCAACAACTGGATGAATTTACAGGGAATTATGCTGAGTGAAAAAAGGCAATCCCAAAAGGTTACATACTTTATGATTCCATTTATGTAACATTACTGATTCTGCTATTCTAAATTATAGAAATGGAGAGCAGATTAGTGGTTTCTAGGGCTCAGGGAGAAAGGGGAGAGAGGAAAGCGGCTCTGGCCATAAAAGGACAACATGAGGGATTCTTCTGATGGAAATGTTCTGCTCTTCACCATATCAATGTCAGTATTCTGGTTGTGATAATGTACTACAGTTTTACAAGATGCTACATTGGGGGAAATGTGTTAAAAGTGCCTGGGATCATTCTGTACTATTTCCTAAAACTACTTGTGAATCTAGAAATATCTCGGAATAAAAAGTTTAAAAATGTGGCTAACAATAACATCCATATAGATTTAACACAGAATGGATTCTTAAGTACAGATTACTTCCACCGTTACATGTTGTTCACAATGCAGGCAGTCGGGGTGCTACTGTATATACTTCAGGCTTGTCAGAGTGCATACAGAGACAGCCAAGAGTTAGACTGCAACAGGATGCCATATGTTCTTGCTCCAAAAGGAGGAGAACAAGATGAAATAACATAAATACTTATTTTATAATGAGCTACATCTTATACTTCCCAGGACCCAGAGTTTTTTTTCTCCATATATTTCTTCTTTGGGCTGGTGATACCAACCATATCATCACTCATCAAAGCCAAAAGCCATCTATGTATGTATCATCACTGTAGTCTTTTTTTCCCATTCCCACTGAAAGCTAACCAGTAACAAATCCTGTCACATTTACCGCAGAAATGTTTTTCTCAAGTCCCTTCTCCATTCCTATTACCACTGCCCCTTTTTGAGCTGTTATTAGATTGCACTTGCATGTATTACTTCACTGGTCTTCTAATTGTCCTCCCTTACTTCAGACCTTACATCCACGCCCATTCTCACGTTACATAAAAATTATTTCAAGCACAGAATATACAGAACTAAGTATACCACTCATCTGTTTAAAACCCATTAATTCCTAT